GGCGATCAAGCTGTGAAAACAGCCGTTCCGCAGGGAAGTTTGCCTCAAAAGTCTCCTAACCCGCCTGTGCCTCTTGGAAGAAGCCGGACAGAATAGCACCGAAGTGCCTTGGGTGACGCCGTTGCGGACCTGCCTGAGGTGCTGCCCTGGCGGCCCTTTGTCGCCCTTGCCGGGCTGGCGGGTGGCAGAGGGGCCTTTGCAGCCCTCGGCAGCGACCCCGGGCACGCCTGGTTGTTCTGCCGTTCTGGCCAAGCAAAGCGAAAAGGGGAGAGAGCTAAAAGCGGGGTTACAACAGGTTGAGCTTTCAATGCCGACAGGTGTTAAAGAGTGCCTAGTGCCTGCTGCCATTACAGCGTGATAGGCGTGTGCTGCGTCAAGGGGTGAAGGGATTTCCGTGTAACGTTGGGAGAGAGAAACTGGAATGAAGCTAGATGTTAGGTGTTTGTTTGTTTTCTTTTTTTCCCCTGCCCTGATAGGGACGTTTTGACACCTAGATTTTAGTAGAGCAGTATAGTCCATTTCTAAAGATCATGTCTCAACCCATAAGGTGTCTGTCCTGTGCGTAGACACTTCTGTGACTGGTACACAGGTCTCTAAAGCTGGTGCTGACTCAGAGTTTGGCTTTGGATGTAATTCAGATGCAGTTGTGTTGAACTATCAAATAAAATTTAGGAATTTATCACAGAAACAAACATTGAGGTTTTTAATTGAATATTCCTTGCACTGTGATTAGGGAGAAAGCCAAATTAATGTGGATTGGTGTATGGTTATTCTGCAGCCTCCAAGAGATGGCTTGAAGTTTGCTGTCTTACATGCAATATGTTTTAAGTCTAACAATGGCAGTAACCGATGTCTTCACTCAAACTCAAGCTTCTAGAAGAAGCTGGAGCAACAGCCCTGACATAGGCTGCCTTTGTGCATGTGAAATTCAAGTGTAGCGACTGATGAAGCTGCAGGGCACCTTCTCTGAAGGACTGGTAGATCTAGAGTTCATTAGACACATCTAATGGTTTTAACTTGCTGACCTCTAAGGTACAGAGGAAGGATTCTGATGGAGGGAACCTTTTATCTCTTGCCTTTACTCTTGAAAATGACTCTGTTAAGTGTGTTCAGTCAAAAAGCGCATATCATTTCTTAATTTGCTGTATTGGATTTTATGCCTTCTCAGCAGCCTCCCCAGATGAATTATTTAGGCTTAAGTTGAATTCTCAAGGACAGAGCTGGAACTGGTGTGGTTTCTTTTCCAGTGTGTCAAGTCTTTGAATGAAGTTTTGCAGTTACACGTGTAGCTAAATACTTCTTTTGAAGTGCGATGGGAATCTTTTAACACTGTCTCAATACGACGTTTCTCTTACTGTGTTTCTTGTTAAGTTTTCCTTCATGTTTCCTGTATCTCTCTTTCTTTGTAACGTGTTGCTAGCTCGGATACGTTGCCTGTGGGCCAGCGAAGACTGGCAGGGTACTCCAGGTTCCACATCTCTACCTATGCCTCCTCTGGGCTTTAGATGTCCTTAGGTTTTTTTCGAGTAACAAGTTAAATATGCTTTAGTTGAAGAGGGAACAGATTAAGTGTAGTTGTAAGGTGCAGGTGGCTATAGAGCAACTATAATGCGAGAAATTACTAGGCATGTTCTTGCTCCTCTGTGCTGTCCCATTTGCAATGATTAATCCAAATCTGTTCCTCCAGCGCTTAGGCTACCTACTGCCACTGTGTTTCTTCTGTAAATTTCCAAAAATGTTCATGTGGAAATGCAAATTGCCTTCTCTTGGTTAATTGCTCATCATTTAATGTTCACCTGCTTTTGGCTGGAATTTTGCTGGGCTTGTGTGGTTCAATAGTGTTATTGGGAGCCCTGTAAGAGAAAGGAAAGGGATTATTTTCCTGCCATCCTCAAAGATCTCACTGGTATTGATAACCTCGGATGGTAGGGTAGATGTCCAAGGCCTTTCTGCGTAGGTGTGAGCTTGAGTCAGGAAGGGTAAGAGGCGCACTGATGTGCTGTGGAGGGTCACTTTTTTGTCACTTCTTTTTTCAGTCACTTGCATGATGTAGCAAGTTGTGTATTAGAAATAATAGAAATTGAGATTTTTTTTTTTTAGAAGCTGTTGATCAAGCTTAATCATTTAGCTTGAAAGTTTTAAAATGTCGTTAAAATCACTGGCATTACTGCTGTTTTCTTTGGCAGAATACACTTTGTGTCATGAGTAATGTTTTGTAAATGGCATACTTCAGGATGCTAACGTAGAACTAGACTCAATTACTGTTTGAAGTGTCTAGCAGGAAATAAGTAGTTGTTGTTAGGCCATGTCTATCTTGTGTTTGCCTGTACCAGAGAAACACATACCTCGGTAATGTGTTTTGGAAATTGCCACAATACGGAAACTGGTAGTTGTTGTAGTAAGGCTTATTTGATTTGTACTACTTGTTTTCTGGGCAAGATTACACTATGGTTGTTCTGGTTTGGGACACTTTAAAGTGCAGTCAAAAGCTTGTAAACAAGAACTGCTTGGGGAAGAGTCTGAGTGTTAAGGCATTTGTAAAACACAAGGTTCTATAGCTCATGTTTTTCACCCTGTAAAGTGCTGCATGTGAGGCTGTTAACAGCACACAGGTGAAGGCTTGCTCTGCCCTGGTAGTAATTGTGGCGTTGTTAGTTGGAGCCACTTGCTGAAACTCTTGCTGTTGGGTAGAATGGGAAAAGGACATGAATTGACAAGGTTATGGCCTCGTTGTCTGAGGCTGGTTTTAACCAGACTTCTAAAGTTTTGTAATAGTGCTGCAGGTATTACATACTTAGCAGCTGATGTTCATGTAACAAATGCAAACTTTTTTTTTTTCAGAATCGGGCCATTTTCCGATTTGATCCAGCAGATGAAGACAAAAGAAAGGTAAGTAAAGTAGGCTATCGAGCTGCATACCTTTATACCTGAAATATAAAAGAGTAAAAGCAGTCTCTTAACTTAGCTGCTGTTGTGAAATGGTACAAGTAGTGATTATAAAGTTCTGTTTTAATTTTTGTTTCTTCAGTGCAAGAGCCGTGACAACTACCCATAACCTTTTTTTCTGAAAGAGAAATGCAAATACCCCTAGCAATGCCGATTCCCCTAGCAAAAAACCCTGTCTTGAATAAAAGTGGTAACAGAAAACCCCATAAATTATTTTGCTGGGTAAGGATTTGCAGTGGGGTGCAAGAATGAAGATACGCTACTGAGGTAAAAATTTTGCAGAGCATTTTTCCATTTTCTCTCTTCTCAGCTGGTAGCAATATCACAGGTGTATTTCTTGTCTATGTTAGATACTTAAAGAATACCAGAGATTAAGATAAAGGGATAAGTACAGAAGAAAGCTGTGGAGCTGTAAGGGAGGCAGAGCTACAGAGGCCTGTTAATCCAAAGGCAGTTGTAATCAGCAGAAGGTGTGCTGTGCGTGTCAGGTTCCAAAGATGGGAAATGTTCCTGTGTTACAGCATGGAGCTGTACTGGTGTGTCAGGGCTTAACAGGTCCCTTGAGATCCATCCACAGCCTCGCATTTAGAGCTTCGACATTGATTTATTTATTTTTTTCCTGTTCTTATTTTTATGGCATAATATGTAGTAGAGCTTCGACATTGATTTATTTATTTTTTTTCCTGTTGTTATTTTTGTGGCATAATATGTATTGACAAAGCCCTTCCTTTCTTTTCTCTAATTAGTTTTTGGCTGATTTGCATATTTATTCAGAAAATGTTCATTAGTGAGTGAGGCTGCATGTTTCTGCTATTTCTGAAATAAATTCAAAGCTTGAAATCAGAATTGCAAGGTTCCTGCAAGGATAGCCTGTCTCAAATTTGGTACACATAGATTCATTCCATGGTTTTGCGCACAATCTAAATATTTTCAGGTATTTAGTATTTTTCTGGTAGAAATGGGTGTGGTGATAAGTCTCTGTGTCCTTTGCATTTACAAAATCATCAGTTATGCGTACTGCAATCTTAAGTTACAATTCTTTATTACACAGGTGACTTGAAGACCTCTTAGCTTGGCTTTATCTATGGCTTTACTCAAAGCTGACGTTTAGTATCGCAGTGATGGACTGTGTGTGTCGGCTTTGATGTACAGAAGAACTTGGATGTGATCTTGATTTGGTTTTCTTATTGTGTTTGTGTTCATCCCTCTCTTTCCTCCCCATCCCTTCCACCTCTCTTTACGTTGAGAATGAGAAAGCATCTAGAATGGAAAACTGAATGCTAAGTAGAGAACATAGGAAAGGGGAATAGGTCAGAAGGCAAACTGGCGAAAGCTAAATAAAAACAATGAATGTTGTGGGGGGGCAGGGGTGTGTGTGTGTGCAGGATATTCTCTGTGTGTGGTTGGTTTTCGTTGGGTTTTTTTTTTAAAAGCTACTCAACTGCACGTGCTCAGTCTCCTTAGTATCCGTAAAACATTGAGCCCTCTCTGCTAATCCTTCAGTTAAGGTAAAAAATAAAAATGCTTTAAATTGAAAGGTAAAATAGTGCATGCTCCTGCTAAGAGCAAACTACTGAAGTTGTCACCAAAATTAATGAGGGTTGCTCAAAGTTTGCATGATGTAGCCTCAGGCTAATTCAGAAACAGATCCCATTTGTTTGTTTAGTGATACCAAAATACACTCGAGTTGATAGCTGCAGAACTGCAAATACTGTTAGCTTAGAATGATTGCAGTGAAAGAGAGTTTAGACAAAGGGTCACAGTCCATGATGAGGTCATGGAGTAGACTTGAAGTTCAGGTATGGTGGCAAATACAGAGGGACTTCAGGATGTTGTCTTTGGTTTCTGGTGCTATTGGAAACTTGCCAAATAACCTGATGAATGCAATACATGCTTCTTGCCAGTCTCTTGCTGCGTATTGGGTTTGTTCATGCCTAGGAGTAAGTTCGCTTTTAGTTATGTACTCCAGAAGCCTCACAGAGTATATTGTAAGTCATTCATGTCTATGCAAGAGCGCAAGTAAAAGATCAAGAATCCCAATGCAAGTTTTTTCTCTGCCTCGCCACACGGCTTCGGCCGTGACCTTAGAACTACAGCAAGGTTGTGTCTATGGTGTAACTATTGTCACCTAGGTGTAACTGTGCTTTATGCCTTTCGAGGTTGGATACTGCTAGGGAGAGGACAAGCCGTATGCCATGGTGACACGCTGTAGAACATAAAAGATGGAAAGGTCAAAACTATGGCTTGACGATAGAAGCTGGATAAATTGGACAGCAAAAGTTCTGCTGTAATATGACTATTAAATCATGATGCTTTAGGCTGTAAACTGACTAAATCAGCAGTGAGTTTGTAATACTGAACTCTAGGAGGAAAGTAGGTTGTGTCTTCCAGAAAGCAGGAAGAGAGGTGATGTTAGTAAGCTTGTCGATCTGGCCAGAGCCACAGGGCTTGAATACATCACAGGGTGGTAAAAAACACAAGGTTGCAATATGAGCTGTTATTTGTCCTGGTTGTTTTGTTTAATGATGTATGTGTAGGCATTGGCCTATGTGATGGGTGCTATGGGTGGGTATAAATCAGTTGGCAACCTGTGTACCAGGCAGGTCAAGTTGGTGCCAACCTTCTTAGCTTATTAATAAAAATTACGAATTTCTGAAAGCCTGTTTCCAGTTTGTGTGTGTAAACAGTATAGAAGTTGCCAGCCAGAGGTGTGTCCTGGAATAGCAGCTGAAATGAAGGCAGTGCAGTTGCTTCAGAGGAGCTTAACTGTCTCTTAGAAATCTAAAATATTTATTTGTCTCAACCAGGAAGGAGTTCCTGACAGCATTTTGCTGGAAAAGGTTGAGTCTTCAGAACTGGCACTTCACAGCAGCATGGCATGGTTGACACAAACAGTTGGCTCTTTAGGTTGATGCTGGATTCACAGCACTGTTTTTGTCCTGGAAATGTCTGTCAGTACTCATTCCCTAGTCAGCTGTGGTGTTCTGCAGTTGGATGGAGCTACAGCATCATTTGCCTGGGTGATATAACAGAAGAGGTAAATCTGTCCAAGATGGCAAGCAAGATTTGACTTTTTGAATTGGATGAAGATGCTTATTTTGGAGGAAAGCAAAAAAAGGAAGCGGCAGCCAAATGTAAGAATATTACTCATAAGCCATATTCTTACCTGAAATGGTAGGGTCTTCATGATTGACGTATTTCCTCTTCAACTCCTTGTGTTTTGTCTCCTTCACCTCTTGTAGTACTTATAACATCCGGTTTCAGCCCTGCTGGCTCCGGCTTACTGCATTGGGTCAGCCCTGTAATATAAATCCTTAAAGTTTGAGATCAGCTTTCTTGATTTATTGTTTGCGTTCAATTTGAATGTAATGGATCTAAAATTCAAGGCCTCCTTTAGTGGGAAGAAAATCACCAAAACGGCCTTTTCCCCCACATCACTGAATATTTTAAAGGTGTTGAAATAGATGATGGTAAATAGTATCAAACATATTGTGGGCCTTTCTCTCCTAATTAAATTCATGATGTGGGGAGATTCCTTAAGGCTGTGGACTGTACCATATTTGAACTTTGGAAGGATGGAAGCAGTAAAGTATGTTGATGGAGCAAGATGCTGTCACACTCTAAATCTCAGAAGAACCTTGTTGTTAGATAGTGCTGTTGACACTGTGACACTTCTGGGAGGTCTAAAGGTTCCTGCAGCCACAAAGGCACAAAACTTTTCTTCTGCCAGTAACTTCGTTGCAAGCTTTTAAAGTCTGTTAGTGAGTGGCCTGTAAAAATATTACACTCAAGCACTCCTGTGGGCACATTGTGTGGTATCTTAGTATTAATTGTTGTTGTTATTGTTCTGACTTTACTGAAACCCCTTAAGGGAGTACCAGTCTGTAAGAGAAGAAAAGTTACTAAGTATCCTTCATTAATACTAAACATTTGTTCTAATTCCCTCTGGTGCTGCACACTCCCATCCAGCATTTTTCAGTTTTCACATCTCAAGGTTTATGTCAAGCTAGGGACACCCATCTCTCCTTTTAGAACCCTTCTTTCACCACTGGGTTACAGAGGCTGTAAACGTTCTCCCTCTCCCTGTTGAGTGGGGAGGGCAAGGAGCTGAGAGTGCAGCTACGCAGAATTTCACCTTTCTGTGACTCTGAACCAGGTGTTTATTCCACCCGTTCTGACAACAGGGATTACTGTGCCTGCTCCTCACCTTACCTGCTGAGTGCTGTCTCGCCTAAGCTCCCACGTCTTCAAACCTGCGACCTGGGCCTCTGCCGTGTCAGAGCTGGCGGGCTCCTGCCAATCAGGCCAACCTCCCACTGTCGATATGGGCTGAACAGTGAAGTTTGAAGTGAAGCAGACTGAATCCTCAAGGATGTCTGGAAAAACTAGGCAAAACTTTGGCGTGGCCTTTTCAGAGGATGTTATCCAATTGTCCTGTTATTCAGCACAGTTGATTACAAATGTTATAGACATGTTGTCTTGGCTTCCAGAGAAAATGAGAGCTTGAACTAACATTCCAAATACTCTTGGGCTTACTTTCTTACTGTCTTGGATGCTTGTCCGAAACCTAATAGCAGAAAAACCAATCGTTTTATTCTTTTAATGCTGCTCCTGTTAGCAGAAACTACCAGCCAATGTTCTTGTTCAGCAATTCCAAGTTATGCCTCTCTGCTCCTGGAATCTCTTATATCTGACTTGACAAAAACATAGTTTCTCTTTGGCTTTCTGCAACACTGATTTGCATAGCCTATTGAAAATATAAGAAACATGTAAAATGCTTAATTTTGCCTTATAAGAGATGGAGAGGGGCTTGTGTTTTAAGAGAAGCTTCTGAATAACTTTGAGAGCCCCAGAAACTTCAGAGTTGTAAAAATTTACATGCAGTTTGTTGTGGTTACTATTAACCTTCCTTTAATCCACGTGAAAATTGGGTAGAATCTGCT